ATCATCGTCCGAGTCTTGTAAGTATCTGTCATCGGGTGTCTTGAGTGGGGTAATATGTTTTACCGATTTACTGCTCGATTTGCATAATTTTGCGAAATGTCCGAGTTTTCCGCAATTATGGCAGGATTTTCCTCGAGCAGGGCAATTCTGCATTCCGTCTTTGTGTGGAAATGCTCCACCGCAGTTTCGGCAGGTTTTCTTTCCGTCCGGTGGTGGTTTTCGTCTGCGATTGAATGCACCCCGTGGTTGCGATGCTGGTGGCTGGCGGTTTCTTTCCAATGCGTTTAGGTCTGTGTTTGCGTTTTCTAGTCGTTGCGCTTGTTGATCCGTAATTTCTAGCGAAGTTCCGTGTGCTAATAAGGCTTTTAAGTCCATGCTTTCACGAAGGGCTTTCTTTCGCAATCTTGGGTCTCGTGTCTTGTGGATGATTTGTATTTTAATCTCTTCGTCTTCGTTCGCGAATTCACAGTCTGTTGCCTTGGTTTTGAGTCTTCGATAATACGCAGTTAGAGTCTCGTTAGTTTCTTGTGTCAACTCGCGAAATTCGAATATAGCTACATCTTTGTTTCCACGCGGAGTGAAATACTGCGTTAAACTGTCGACGGCTGATTCATACGTTATACCGGTGTCTGGCAGAATGTCGAAGATATCGTTTGTTGCTTCGCCAACGTATGTCAAGAGAAGACCTCGCCGGATGGTCGAGTCGAACTCTCGAAGGCTGATGAGTAGGTTTTCAAAACGCCGTATCCATTTCTTCCATCGTTGAGACACTGTTGCTGAATCTGTGATTGGGTCAAATGGGGGAAAAGGGGGTAGACCACTTTTAGGAGCGTTAAAACTTTGTGTTGTAGGGTTTGGTTGTTTTGATGCCGGTTGGTCTTTCCCTGAAGATGTAGCACTTTCATCATCACTCATGTTTGTTAGTTATCCTCGTCGCCACTTTTGTATCTTGCTTGTTTGGGTTATAGAGACCTCTAGCATATATGCTACTCGCACTAGTTGTAATCAAAGACTAATTTATTGATAGAATTAAGTAAATATATATACAAGCATTGACAGGCAATTAGGATATATGATATGGGTGTGTGTGTGAAAGGTTAAGCCTGGGATGAATTAAGTACAGGATACAACAATACGTTGATGTGACGGACCATATTTATGAATAAACGTTTACTAAAGCCCTGGGCAAACTAGGAAACATTGTTGCGGAAACATTTGTGATTCTGGATGTTTCCTCAAATGTTTCCATGTTTGCCCACCCGTGGAAACATTGTTGCGGAAACAAAATTTGCTTCCCGGCAAGCAAAAATGTTTCCTACCAAATTCAGAAACATTTGATGTTTCCCTATGTTTCTCACTAATGTTTCCTAGTGTTTGCCCACTCTTGGAAACATGGCGAAACATTGGCAGGAAACAATGTTTCCGCAACAATGTTTCCTAGTTTGCCCAGGGCTTGACATAGATATAGTGAGTTATATTGTTATTCTAATGAGTTTCGCAGCCATCTTCCCTTCGATATGGGCTATGCTGAATGTAATGTTCCTGTTTACATTTCCTGTAGACTTGCTCCAAGTGTCTCTTTCATTGTCATATCGATCCACTATAGTGTACATTACATGACGTAGCACGGAGAAGCGGAGTGAGAAAGAGAGACTTGTCAACTTCGGAAAATCTCGGTTCAAAACTGAACCGAAAATGCAAGACTTGCTTTAATAAGATTCCTTCAATTTCTTTCTTTATCATTTACTCTAATGGAACTCGTGTTATTTACATGTGCTAGATCAATACATATAAGCACTGACAGAAAACAATTAAAGCAAGTCTTGCATTTTCGGTTCAGTTTTGAACCGAGATTTTCCGAAGTTGACAAGTCTCTCTTTTTCGCTCCGCCCCTCCGTACTACGTCATGTAATGTACACTATAGTGGACCGATACTATATGACAATGAAAGAGAGACTTGGAGCAAGTCTACATTTCCTGGGGTCGGTTGTATAAAAAAGTGATTAAAGTTAACTATAGTTAGTGGAACGTCATCCAATAAGAAGCGCCTATTTGAGAGTTAATCACTATTTAACTACAAAATAGTCATGTTTCGCTCGCTACTCTGGTTTAAATAAATGATTACAAAGCCCAGTCGAATTGTAATCAAGACCCAACGTTTCGACACTCCAGTCTAGTGTCTTCATCAGGGGTGATCTAAAACTGCGATCGTGGCTTCTTAAATACCCAAGGGATGACGTCACCTGCCAATGAGATGCATATATTCTTCTGGCAAATAGGCGCCGTCATCCCACCGTCATCTTTGCCGCCTATTTGCCAGAGGAATATATGCATCTTCTTGGCAGGTGACGTCATCCCTTGGGTATTTAAGAAGCCACGATCGCAGTTTTAGATCACCCCTGATGAAGATACTAGACTGGAGTGTCGAAACGTTGGGTCTTGATTACAATTCGACTCGGCTTTGTAATCATTTATTTAAACCAGAGTAGCGAGCGAAACATGATTGATATACCTGGTTGCAGTGAACGAACAAACTTTATACAAAATAGTGATTAAAAAAGTGATTAAGAGTTTTATACAACCGGCCCCTGGTTAATTTAATCATAGCCAATAATATAACAAATCGTTTAATGCAATTTGGGTACTTGGTTAGTTTAGTTTCCATACAAATTGTTCAATTATAACCAATAAAGAGTGACCAAATGCATGTAGTAATCATGTTTACTAATTATTTTGGCGACATGGCATTGGTGCGTTTTAGTCGAGAAAATCAAAGCTGTAAATTTGTGTAAATCAGGGCGAAACCATTATCAGATTTACAGATATTAAATTATATACTGAATTTTCTTTATGATTTTTTAGATTTTTGTTACTTGATGGATAGGTTAACTTCTACGCGTTATATTTCAAAACTGAGGACTGGAGCAAGGAATTGGTATCTCGTAAATCATCACATGAGCGAAGTGAATTAATTTTATCCAATCCCATACGGGCACAGGGCTGAATTCGAAGCAATTTTGAACAAACGATATATGACAATAAACCTCTCCCAAAATAAAGCTGCTATCAAACCATCTTTTTCTTCAAAAATTGAGTGTAAGGATCCCACAAAAAATATGCGATTACCACTGGAGAATATCAATACACTTCCATTCTTCGGTTTGTTTAATTTATTATACATGAATATGGTATTTATTTATGCTATTAAATGATTGACAAATCTAAAAGCAATCGACAGCCTGGTTTACACTATCAAAGTTTATGTGATCACAGTAGGAATTTTGCATTGGTAAATTCTAAGTTTTGAAGGATTTGTAAGAACTGTTTGAGGGAACTGACTATAATTGATTTATAATTTAATTTCTCAGCTTTATTGGACAAAGATAGTAGAAACATTTACAAGTTTAAGTCCAAAGGGGATAGCGCAAACGGGACAACGAGACCCATGCTAGGCGCACCCCCTCCAAAAAAGAGAGGGGGAAAAATCCAACCTAATTTACTATACAAATATATATTACATAACATGCATATTAAGAACGGTGGCAGGGGCAGTCTCTTGTGAGCGACCAAGTGCATGCCATATCAACATTAAAAGTACTCTTGACCAACGCGGTGTATGTCACATGCAGAAAGCTTTTAAAAATTGTTAATAATGGTTTAATATAATGGTTTAATACTAAGTCAGTTTCCTCAAACATTTCTTACAAATCCTTCAAAACTTAGAATTTACCCATGCAAAATTCCTACTGTGATCACAGAAACCACGTGCAGAAACTTTGAAATGTTGGTTGAAAAGTTTGAATAAATTCAAACATGATCCAAAATCAGTCATTACCGGCCATGTTTAAACAGAACTAAGAATGTCACATCGAACAATGTAGGATGTTGAACTGTGTTGGACTGATCTGAAAAGACCTGCCTGACGAGCGCTGCGCAAAGAAGGCCACAAATTAAAACAAAATGGAAAAGATGTCTGACAAATTTTAACCGTTATTTGAAGCTCTGTCTTTCCAACAAAGGAGTGAAATTTACAGAGGATATCTTCTTCTTCTTTCCTTGCACATCCATCGGTTTAACTTTTAGCCCCCCGCTTGGCTTACGGTTTTTCCTCAGTCGGCCATTCGGTTGAACCTTGGCATTCATCATGGGTTTAACATTTATTCCCCCGCCTGGCTTACGGTTTTTCCTCAGTCGGCCACTGATCCTTGGCTGAACTATCTCACCATAGGAAAGCTGCCTCGCAGGTGGGACGAAAATAGCCGTATTCCACGCTGGTGGCCCATATGAAGGCAATCGGTTTACATTGGATGGTACTTTTGGTAAACCTGGTTGATTCACATTTGTTGTTCCTTGCAGTGATGGTGGTTCATTCGCGGTGTCCGTATTCCCGTCCGGTTGAATGTCAGTGCCTTCTTTATCGCCATCCACTGGTATTATGCTCTGTTGATCCTGGCCAGGCTTGTTCACGTCAGGCTGGTTTTGGTCAGGATGGTTCACTTTAGGCTCGTTCACGTTAGGCTGGTTCACATTAGGATAATTCACCTTGGGCCTGTTCACCTTGGGCCTGTTCACCTTGGGCCTGTTCACCTTGGGTCCGTTCACCTTGGGCCCGTTCACGTTAGGCTCGTTCATGTTAGGCTGGTTCACGTTAGGCCCGTTGACGTTAGGCTCGTTGACGTTAGGCCCGTTCACCTTGGGCCCGTTCACGTTAGGCTCGTTGACGTTAGGTTCGTTCACGTTAGGCCCGTTCACATTAGGCCCGTTCACGTTAGGCTCGTTCACGTTAGGCCCGTTCACCTTAGGCTCGTTCACCTTGGGCCCGTTCACCTTCGGCCCGTTCACCTTGGGTCCGTTCACGTTAGGCTCGTTGACGTTAGGCCCGTTGACGTTAGGTCCGTTCACCTTAGGCTTGTTCACCTTAGGCTTGTTCACGTTAGGCTCGTTGACGTTAGGCCCGTTCACATTAGGCCCGTTCACCTTGGGCGCGTTCACGTTAGGCCCGTTCACGTTAGGCCCGTTCACCTCAGGCTCGTTGACGTTAGGCCCGTTGACGTTAGGCCCGTTCACATTAGGCCCGTTCACCTTGGGCCCGTTCACGTTAGGCCCGTTCACGTTAGGCCCGTTCACCTTAGGCTCGTTGACGTTAGGCTCGTTGACGTTAGGCCCGTTCACATTAGGCCGGTTCACCTTGGGCCCGTTGACGTTAGGCCCGTTCACGTTAGGCCCGTTCACCTCAGGCCCGTTGACGTTAGGCCCGTTGACGTTAGGCCTGTTCACCTTAGGCTCGTTCACCTTAGGCCCGTTCACGTTAGGCCCGTTCACCTTAGGCCCGTTCACCTTAGGCTCATTCACGTTAGGCTCGTTGACGTTAGGCCCGTTGACGTTAGGCCCGTTGACGTTAGGCCCGTTGACGTTAGGCCCGTTGACGTTAGGCCCGTTCACCTTGGGCCCGTTCACGTTAGGCTCGTTGACGTTAGATTCGTTGACGTTAGGCCCGTTCACATTAGGCCCATTGACGTTAGGCCCGTTCACGTTAGGCTCGTTCACGTTAGGCTCGTTCACGTTAGGCCCGTTGACGTTAGGCATCTTCTGGTCAGGCCGATTCACATAAGGCAGATTCACGTTGGGCAGGTTTTGGTCAGGCTGGTTCTGGTCAGGCTGGTTTTGGTCAGGCTGGTTTTGGTCAGGCTGATTTTGGTCAGGCTGGTTCTGGTCAGGCAGGTTCTGGTCAGGTTTGTTCTGGTCAGGCTGGTTCTGGTTAGGCTGCTGCCTTTGTTTCGTCCACGCCTGAAGCATGCCATCCATACCCACGGGCGGCAAATCACCAAAATTCAAAATATATACATTCAACGTGTGAGCCAGCCCGTGCGATACAACAGCACACTCAGCAGTAACGTACTTCCAATACGATTTATATCCATTCCCCTTGTTTTCAGACACAAAAACATTTTCAGGTGGTGAGCGGGGTTCATCACAGGCATTAGTACCGGTTACATAAACAGTGTACATGAATTTGGGTCTTCGTAACAAGCCGTTCATTTTCAACTTGCCATAAATGCATATGCGATGATCAGTTTGGGATATGCTGTACGAGACCCACAATGTTTTACGGGATTTTTTAGTTAGGACAGATTTTGTGTAGTGGGTAACGATTTCAACCGGGTGGCTTTGACTTTCCGCAACCCTCGACAAAGGAGCTTCCATTTCGAGATTTTGGACTTTCCACTTCGCGTCTAGAAGATCTAAAGGCGTTTTATTCCAGATTTTGATCTTTATTGCTCTGGGAATCACAAGAGTTCGCTTCCCTTGCTTTCCCAATCTCGTTTGGGCCACATGGCGCCCGAATGAAAAAGTTGACTTCTTGGCGGCCAACAAAACGCTGAAGATATAGAGGAAATTAAATATTTTAACCATCTTCTTCTCTTCAAAACACTGCTTTTCGTCTCGATGAAGTTGTTTGAACAGCAGTGATTCGACTTTTTTACTGGTGACAAAATGATCACCAACTGTTAAATCTGCTGGTACATAATGCATTTTCACAGTGAGTGGTAGATCTTATATCATCTTTGAATTTATACGAGACAAACCGTTACGATGAATTTGAAAAAAAAACTTGAAGCAATAAAATCATTGAATGCCAAAATATTTTAATCCAAAACAAGTGTTGCCATTTTAATTAAACTAACCCAGGCAACTTTAATTGCTAAAAGCGAATTCACTAAAACAATTTAGCCCGTCTATTTGGCGTCACAGCAGTGTACCATGATCATAGCAACTTGAGCCTTTGCCATGTTAGCTATCAATTTTTAATCAAGCATTTACATTTATCACAAATATGTTATCTTTTATTTGGGATTAAAGGGAATTAAAAATAACATGTTTTTGTTATTGCCTATTGGCTCCGTAAACAAAACTGACAAGTGTTCCATACTCGAAGGCTGGTTAATCAAAGTTTCTGTGATCACAGTAGGAATTTCGCATGGGTAAATTCTATGTTTTGAAGGATTTGTAAGAAATATTTTAGGAAACTGACTTGGTGTTAAACACTGAGCCAGTTCCCTCAAACATATCTAAACTTACAAATCCTTCAAAACTTATCACAACTAACTTTAATTAACTTTAGACCAGCCTTTAGGAAAATTTATCCTGCAGCTTTGCCAATGTCATAATCAACCAATCACAAAGCCCATATTCCCTATATCATGTCATGTCAAACTGAATCAATGATTATTTACTAATTTATTAAGTTTTGCCAGAATTACAAATGTCACACAATTTATTAAAGCAAGCAATATGTGTCGCTGGGAGACAGCAACCACTTTTACTCAGGCTAATTACTGCGGCCATGCAAATACTGCGGCCCCAGTTAAGTCATCATGGTAAAGCAAATTGCCTCCCTCATACAAACACTTTGTTTTTGTCTCTTGTGTTGGTTTTATGTCCTAATAAATACCAGCTAATATGAACACAGTTTTTGATTGGTTTTCTGAAACAGAAGTGCATGTCTACGACTTATTCTTTAGAAAGATACTTTCTATAGAAACTTGTCATAATCAACCAATCAGAAAGCGGTGGGTATTGGAGAAGTTCTAATCTACATTGGACAAATCGTCAGTTTGTTTATTCTCAGCATCTTCGTTCAAAGTTGGACTGGTCGAAGCATCGCCATGTTCAATCGCAGCTGGCTTGCCAAAAATACTGGGAATTTTATCAAATGTGACTGACTTCACCCAACTAAACATACCCTGTTTTTTCCTGTCTGTACACATTATATTAATCTCATCCTTTTCGTCCAATTGAACCACAAATTTATTTTCAGCATCACCAGATCGGATACAAAAGTCATTACCACGCTGATCGTAAATAACTATCTCTGCATTTTTCCATGTTTCTGGTGACTCTGTGTCAAGTTTTGTGATAGTCGCTTGTAGCATTTGTCTCAGTGTTACATACAAGTCCGGGTCATCTGCCCGTCCTTCGTTGCCACAATATTTCACAATCAGTTTACCAATGGTACGTTTGGTTATGGCAGGAACTGTTTCCTTGAATAAATTCATTATTACTGGCATTATTGGGATAATTGTTCCAGGAAAGATCTATAGTTCCCCCACAGAGGAACTTTCTGCCATCTGGATGGGGGGGCATACTTCTGACAATAGGGAAATGTACTAGGACATCAGAATGGGATAGGGGGTGGATTAACTTCCAATTTCCTCCATCGGGGCTCTCTCCTCCGCAGAGGTTTCGGTGTTATCGAAGAAAGCGGCGTCTCCGCCTGCGCGTCTTCCACACAGCGGTTCGATACGGTAAACGCCATGTAAAGCTCATTGAAACCTCTGCGGAGGAGAGAGCCATTGAGGGGAAGTCTAGCTTGAATAAAGTTGTCGTTATTATATATATTATATAAATTAGTTAATCATCTAGAATTAGAAAGTGAAGTTGGCCCTGGATCTTGGCATAACCAGATTGGGTATTTCGATATAAACCCAGTTACCAGGCTTCGGTACGCCAGCCTACCAGCCTATAATTAAAGTCTTGTATATTAAGTAAAAGTGAGATTTATCTTAGTAAACCAAGCTGGCTCGGATAGGTGGGTTGTTCAGTGCTGGCCCGCTTCCATATAAACCCCCTCTCACTGCCTCAGACAGATGATTTGCGAGACAGATGTGTCTCGATATTCAGACTGATCAGTCTGTAGTCTAAATATAAAATTGTCCACGATAAAACTTCTCATACTCTGGCGGCTGGCCCCAGACATTGGTCAATAAATAGACATCGAAATACCCTAGTTCCAGAGGTTTATTTTTATTATTTTAAAATTGCGAAGGGGAGAAATAAACCTCTGGAACCAGGGTAACATCGAAATGTATAGAAATTAAAATATATACCTGTACCGAATACGGTATTTCATTTGTGGAACTTCCAGCCCCCATTTAGCACAATTTACGTCGGATATTCCAGTATTAAAACCACGTACTCGGTGCTCTTACATCGACTAAAACATCAGCAATCTCATATAATAACGATTCCACGAAATTCCTTGCTTTAACCGTCGCGAAATGTGAAGTAAATTCAAAACAAACACAAAGTTCAATCAAATGTTACTAATATTTCAAAAACGAAAGTATTTTAGTAAGCGTTTATAAATTATGCATTACTTTTTCCAAGTAAAATTCCTACGTCATAATTTTTTGGTGTCAAAATTTTCCTTTGCTGGGCATGATATGCAAGAGCCTAATAATAAATCACGCTTCGACGATAAAGCGTCGAATTATTGCAGCTTTAATTGTAGAATATCGTTTCCAGTAATTCTTGTGATTTAACATTCGTCCCTGACGAGTACTGCAGTGGCGTAGCCAGATCGATAATTGGGGGGGGGGGCATATTCATATATTCGTGTTCTGCATTATTACACCCCCCAATTATAGAGCTGGCACGCCACTGTTATACTCAGTCCCAAATATCAATGGATAACTACAAAAAAACACTGCAAAAAGGCACACTAAATTCATTAATATAAGAGGATTTTAGCCTCCTCCGCACTCACGTCGCCGTTTAGATTGGCGGGCAGAATTTGCTTGCGGGAAAAAAATTGAATGTAAGTGAAAATGAAACTGAAGTGAACTAAGGGCCGGGG